ACATTCTATTTCCGACACTACATCTTTGTTTGAGTTAATGTTGTAAGAAAATAATTGAAGACTAGCATTGACTTTCATTCCTTTTATATAAGTTAGGTCATGGATATTGTAATTTCCATTTTGGAAATGTTCTTTTATTCTATGTAATTATTGAATATTTCAATAGTAGGCTACCCTTTTTTATTTCAGAGGTCTGTTTCTTTCTTTCATGGTTTTTAACAAAAAATAAAGTCAAAACACATTGCAATCGGAGACTTATATTAGATTTATAAATCGTTCATGGAAAAACCACTTGCAACAGAATCGAATTTAAACTTTACCAGAGAAATATTTGTATCTTTACAAACTCAACTAACACCGTTGACATCCTTTCATGATTGTTAAAACTTATAAACTTGCCATCTCCGGTAGGTTTTCTGATATGAGAGTGGAAATAGACATTGAAAAAAGCCTGTTTACCATTCTAAATTTGCCCAATATTTACTAGGCACTTAGCTTCAGTTTTGATTTCATTTTCTCACGGTTCTATATCAAATAATCAACTGGACAAGCTGCCTACTACTGTATTTCACCTGAAAATCACCCTTGCAGGAACGCACTTATTTTTTCTCTTCACAACCTAACTGTGAAAGGGTTTTCAATATGTCAGATGAGGCATCATAAAGACGTTTCCAGAGTTTTCATTATATCAGATGCGGATTGGGCCACTGGGGGTTGAAAATTCATGTTATAGGCTTTAATTCCATTTATTAGCATAAAGATTATTTTGATAAATGAATTTATTTACTTATTTTCAACTGCACTAATTTCAGGACCATGATGAGTTGAGATGTCAATGACATATGGCTTTTGACTACCCACGTTTTGTTTTGTTTCCAGACACTTTCAGTGATAGTTAAAGAACCCTTCTCTTGAGTTTAAGACTGGGAAAGAAAGGAGAATGATTTGGAGCGTGGTGCGAGCACTCCCACCATAATGGAGACTGTGTTTTATGATTGAACCCTGTCATGAAATGGAGCCTGAGTAGGTGAAAGGATACGTTTCCTCAGCTCCCTAGTATTTGAGATTTCGGAATTAGGATGACATGAAATTAATTGAAGATATATAATTGGTACAAAGGGTTTCCAAATAATTTAAGAAATTGACTTTGTAAAATAAGTTCACTGATCACAACATTCACCATAAAAACAAATGGCCTTTTTTGATATCTATAAAGTGAGAAATGACAGACTCTTCGCCCAACCTTTTTTTTTTTTTGCATTTTATTAGAGATTTCGTACAGTTAATGAACATTTGAACCTAAAATTCTACTCTATTGTACATAAAAGTATAACCCTTCCAACAACATTGATACCTGAATACATGAGCATAAGAGAATTTGACAACCAGATAGATTCACCATCAGGGCTCTCTTCTCAGGTAGCATAACCATGTAGGCACAGGCTATTTTAGCTATCAACATGAACATAGCTCCATTCAGGAGATGCTGGAAGCAGAGGTAAGAAAAAAATCGAAAAAATAATATTCGAAATTGTAATATTATATTTAATTTGGATAGATTATTTTTTTTCATTTGGTTTGGATTTCGGATATTAAATATATATATTAAGTTTAGATTGATTTAGAATGAAAACATGAAAAGCTGAAAAAAAATCGAATCGAATTATATGATTTTTATTTATATATATTTTAAATTTTTATAAAATAAAAACAATTGTTTTTTACCTACATCTATTTAAATATAATAAAAATAATATAAAAATAATATATAAAAATTAAAATAAATTAAATTTAAAACAACTATTAAATCAAACTGAACCGGTAAAATTCAATTTAGTTTAGATCGAATAAAATTTCGATTTAGATTTGAATCAAATTTTAAAAATTTATAAATTTATATATTATCCAAAAAACCAGAATTAAATCTAAACTAAATCACTAAAATTCAATTCAGTTTAGTTCAGATCGTATGAAAAAATTTAATTAAATCTAATTCAATCCGAACCGTTACCATTTTTAGTCGAAAGTAAAAGTTTGCTGGCAAGAGCATTTTAATGCTGCTTATGAATGAATAGTTATCAAGTTTGCCTATTAAAAACTTGCAAGGAATTAGGATTAAGCACAAGTTTTGACAAAGATGAAGATTGGTGCTGGACGCGTGTTGAAATAAGCTGTGGAAACCATGTAGGCACAAGATAAAAGATACAAAAATCTTAAACCAAATGAATGAGAAAAAGGTGAAACACGTGCATGAGAGGTTTACTAATTCTATTCCTTGCCGATGAAAACAACCTTCAGACTTGAAATTAGAAATCAATCGATCCTTAAATTGGAATGTATCCATTAACCAGTTAAGCAGTTACCTCCCTTTCGGATATTGGGATGTCATCCAGGGTAATGCTTCTGACGTGAATATGAACTTTAGAAGGGTCAACCCCAAAGACATTGTACAAGAAGGATGGACAGTGATGCTTATATGTTTAATTGGTTAACTATCTGTTTGTATGGTGCATCGGCGTTGTACTACTTTAAGACGATGGTGGGTGGCACACAAGTCAGCCATCCAAGCTGTAATAAAGCTTCCTTCAACAGAGCTAGTTTCAGGTATATCTATTCTGCTGTTAATTCGAGTTATTTAAGGAATAGTGTTGCAAAACTTGATGACATTTCTTTTCAATGATACAAATCCATCTATTTTGTGGGTATAAGTGCATTCTTCTTGTCTGTGTTTGCAATATCATCTTGCTCGATGCACTATTTGTTTTGACAATGGACAAAAATTATTAGCTCATATCAGTTTTATCTGCATTGTTAGTGACCACATATAGTTGGGTGAAAAAGTGTATAATTTTTTTTTTTATTAATTTACTCCAGGTTCAAGTGACACAACCTTGAAACTTTGGAGCTGGAGATAACTAGACTGGGTGCTATTGTTAAAATTCTGAAGGACACATAACGTTACCATTCGAGCAGGTTTGGTGATGTTGACATTGCCTTGTTGCTGAAATCATGGCCTCTTGAAAAGGCTTCGAAGGAAGCCAAGATTGCATAAATTGGAGCTGACATTGAACTGTTAACAAAACAGAGTTGAAGCTGTGGTTCCTGGTAAGTGCTTTTTTTCATACCAAACTTGCATAAAGATTCAACATTTGAGTCATGCACATTTTGCATTAATGCTTGTCTCTGTGTATTATCCGAGGCATTTGCTGGAAAACTTCTTGACTGATTAAACTGTGGTAACGATTTTTCGTTTGGGACATCCACCGCTAATATTTTTTGTACGGGTACGATTGGTTACCCAAAGATTATCTTTTAATAAAAATCCTAATTAATTTAAGTCAATCCAAACAAAACAAGTGTCTACATAAACCATCCACCTATGCTTTCTTTTTTGGGGGAGAGTGGAGTTTGGGGTTTAATTCCAGTTTATTCACAATGAAAAGCCTTGCTCTATTGACTTGATCATATATATTTCCAACTTCACATTTGTTGCAGGATAAGCGAATGGTTGAGGGTTTGGATAGATCTTTAGAGTGGGGATGGAATTGGAGAATACAGAATCTGGAGGAAAAGTGGGTCAAATAGTTCATATTTTCTGATCATAAACAGGACATTTGGGGCTTCATCCGACAAAACCTAATGTAAACAGCTTGGATGGATCTTTAGGTTCATTTGTTCACAAAAAGACACAAAAGTTCTCAGGCCCATAAAAGAAAAGGAAATGGTATATGGATATATGATTAGAGGATGTGAGAAGATAATTACTTCAAATTTCACTTCCATTTTGAGTAAAACTTTCCATCACCCCATAACAACATCCTATTCAACTCGATCTGAACATTCCTCTACTTCAAATGCCAATTCCTTGGTGCTATCCCCTTATGCAAACTAAACCCAATATACTGTGGAAACTCCTTCAGTTCCTCCGAACTCCTCTCCATTTCTTCCACCAAGAACTCATACTTTGGCCTCAAGTTATCATCAATATTGTACCCAAACATTGCCGGCATTCTAACACAAAAACTTGCAGCCTCTTCATATTTCAAGCCTATGCTCCTCAAGAACTTAATCTTGACCCTTAGCTTCTCCACCCTGGTATTCAAAAGAAATGCCTCCTATTTCTTTGGCACATTCAGTTTCTCCACCCTTCTGTTTGTTTGTAAGGGTAGGCCTCAAACAATATTCCACGTTTGAAAACAAGATGCAACGACAGTTGAAGATCAAACCGCCTGATTCTTGGACAGAAGCATGCAAGTCAGTGATCAAGAAGTGCCGAATTTGAGGTAAAGGGCAGTCGGGGTTTTGGGTGTTAGTAGTTGGAGATATGGAAGCAGCATTTTTTTTTTTTTTTCAAGGGGCAGGGATAGCGGGAAAAGATAAATCTACTGCAATTTTGTGTGGCTGTTTCTTTGGGATTTGAAGACCTAAGGTTCTTTTTCTTCTCTCTTATCTGTCTAGTTTTGGCAATTAAATTTGAGGTTTAAGTAGTAGAATTTTTTAATTTTATAAGTGGACTAAAAATTAATGCATTTTTTGTTTTATTTTTTTTATTTTTAATATATCGATCCTAATAGTACCTTCATTCTATTAGTTTCCCTAATAAAATTTTCTTAATAAAATTTAAAAACTTCGTTGATAAAGATTAAATAATTTTTTTATTAAATTTATAGTCCTTTGATCTTATATTTTTAAAATGTTAGAATTATTTGTGAATTGGTTAACTTCACTTGTTTGTAATCTTTTTGTGAAATTTTTATTTAATTTGATAAGTTTTATATATCTTTAATTATTGTGATTTTACATGTATTATTAGTACACTTAGAGAACATAACTCTTTTATAAATTAATTAAAATGAAAACAGAGACATTAACAAAAAAAAAAAAAAGACAAAAAGGCTGGTTCCACGTTCCCCCGTCGGCCACACATGTAAAAGGTCTAAAAAACGGATAAAAACACTCCTTAGGATAAGCCGACAGCAACGGTCGTTATTACACGACCAAAAAGAAAACCCCTTTAACCAACACTTCCTGTCAAAACACACTGAAACTGTGGCTCCAGAAATCCATCAATGGAAACTCTATTAAACCCATCAAAAACCCCAAAACTCTTTGTACCCAAAACCCATCTCTTTAAATCCTCTCTTCTTCATTCCACTTTCAATCCGCAACCCCATACTCTCTTCAGCAGAAGACTTCTCTCAATCACCATTACTTGCAAAGTGAAAACCTCTCAAGGTCGTAAAAATGATGGAAAGAACGTATCCAAGAAGATTTTGCTACCGGATTCTGCTCCAGAACTGAGTAATGAAGAAGTTAAGGCTAAGCCAAAGAGTGGAGGTGGAGCTTGGGGGCTGTTTAGGAAGTTGCCCAAAATAGTTTTGGCTGTTTTGTCGAACTTGCCTTTGGCTATTGGAGAAATGTTCAGTGTTGCTGCCCTTATGGCTCTTGGTAAGTTTAGTCTTTCATTCTTTGTGTTCACTTTGTTCTTTTTCCAGTTTTTATCGGGTAGGGATGTAATTTGATGAATTGGGTATGAATGGATTTGGTACATGTAAAAGTTAGGTTTTTAGTTTCTTTTGTTTTGCAAAAATGGAAACTAGATTCTTGGAACATAGGTTTAACTAGCTGGTCTTGTTTTCCTGTTTATGTCTTTTGCGAGTATTTAGCAGGCTAGCAAACTCTGTTCAAAGTTAATAAAATGAGGATTTTAGTTTTAGCCAGATTCATTGTCATTGGTGGAATTGGCCTTTTCTTATGCAATCATTTTCTAGGTACTGCAATTGATCAAGGTGAAGCCCCAGAATTCTATTTCCAAAAATACCCTGAAGAAAATCCAGTTTTGGGATTCTTCACTTGGAGGTGGGTTCTCACCCTAGGATTAGACCACATGTTCTCATCTCCCATTTTTCTAGGAACGTTGATTCTTCTTGGTACATCACTTATGGCCTGCACTTACACCACACAAATCCCCCTTGTTAAAGTTGCAAGAAGGTTTGATGTTTCCAGCAACTTCTTATCATCTTCTTTTTGGAATAAGTTGGAGATGCTTTCTACTTAGGGAAAATCCCATAATGCAGATGGAGCTTTTTGCAGTCAGCTGATGCTATCCGAAAGCAGGAATTCTCAGACACTCTTCCTAGAGCATCAGTTAAAGATTTGGGTGTTGTTCTCATGGGAGCCGGATATGAGGTTATATTCTCCTTTTTTTTTTAATTTTGTTTGCCATGTTATATATTATTTTAATTTTCACACCTCATTGGTTGATTATTACTTTAATAATTACTAGAGTTACATAGATTGGGTCATTTTGAATTCTTGTAAGCATCAGAATATTCTCATTCCCATATGGATCCAGGTCATCTAATTGCAGAATATCTTTATTATTCTCTAAATTACTAGTCATCATGTTTTATCTTATTTTAGCTCTCCTTAAACAATGTTGTCTCTAAGTGCATTTCTCCACAATGCATGGTTTGGTTAATTCAGGTTTTTTTGAAAGGACCATCACTGTATGCTTTTAAGGGGTTGGCTGGTCGATTTGCCCCAATTGGAGTACATTTAGCAATGCTGCTGATAATGGCAGGTGGAACTCTTAGTGCAACTGGGAGCTTCAGAGGGTCAGTCACCGTTCCACAGGGTCTCAATTTTGTTATGGGAGATGTACTGGGCCCAACCGGGTTTCTTTCCACTCCAACTGAAGCTTTCAATACCGAAGTTCATGTGAACAGATTCTACATGGATTACTATGACAGTGGAGAGGTAAATGTTGATTTTCTTGTTGTTTGAAGACAAATAAAGAGGGGAACTTTATGGTAGAGCTTTAATTGCTCTTTAGTCTGTACTGATGACTTATTTTGTCAAAATCTTCCTGACACTCCCTTCCATTTGGAATCATTTTTTTTAATTAATTGCTAACTGGACATATTTCTTAGTTTTTGTTGCTTAACCATGCTTAATTTTATTAATTGTTGCTTCATTCAAGGATTTCTTCTTCTAATTTATTTGCCCCTTGTTTCAGGTTTCACAATTTCACACCGATCTATCATTATTTGATCTCAACGGCAAGGAAGTAATGAGGAAAACACTTAGTGTAAATGACCCCTTAAGGTATGGTGGGATCACCATATACCAGACAGATTGGAGTTTTTCAGCACTGCAGGTACTTAAGGATGATGAAGGACCATTCAATTTGGCAATGGCACCCATGAAGGTCAATGGAGACAAGAAGCTTTTTGGGACCTTTCTACCAGTAGGGGACACTGATTCTCCTAATATCAAGGGAATGTATGTATATCTTTTACAGCTTTGTTTCCATGCATATCAACTTGTCTGAAAATTTCTTTTCATACACTTTCAGGTTCTACTTTTACTGACTTAAAAAAATCAAAACCTAAGGGAAAAGTATTGAAATTGGAAGGAAAAAAAAATTGTTGAAGTTTTTAATAAGTTTTGTTTTTGGTTATGCTTATATTGCTATGTGATTTATCTTTTATCTAGACATTAGATCTTTAGATTATCATCCTAGGCAGATACAGGTCTTATAGCCTGAGGTGGGGATCAGCTGACATGAGTATATTTGGGTGAATTGCTGATGGTCAATGCCTACCTTTTCTTTCCTTTTTCTGTTAATTTTTCCTTGATCTGAGCTTGTTCCCTTACTCAACTGAAACTTCAGATCAATGCTTGCTCGTGATCTGCAATCTATTTTCCTCTATGATCAACAAGGGAAATTTACTGGAGTGCGACGACCTAACTCTAAGCTTCCTATTGAGATTGATGGAACAAAACTCGTCATTGTTGATGCAATTGGCAGTAGTGGTCTTGACTTGAAGGTGACCACTTAAAAGATTTCATATACTACAAATTGTGGAATTTTTCCTTAAACAAAATTTTCATCTTAAATAACAGACAACCTTACTTTATTTCAGACTGATCCAGGGGTCGCAACTGTCTATGCTGGATTTGGTGCTCTAATGCTCACAACTTGCATCAGTTACTTATCTCATGCACAGGTGAAAAGTAGATGTCCATTATGAGTTTATGTAAAAATGTTTTAAGACAGAATTACAGAGTTGACTTTTGTTGTTCATCTCAATTTTTTGTGATCACTTTATCTGATTCTTGGGAAGAAATATTACATTAATAATTGAAAAAATGTATATAATATAATAAAATTAATCCAACTGATTGCACTCTATGTCTAGCATCTAACCTTTATGCTTGCTCATTGTTGTCTTATTACCATAAATCTAACAATGATTGGAATCAACCATGTGTTTATGTATTCACTATTCTTTTTTCTTTGGCATATAAGATATGGGCCTTGCAAGATGGGACAACAGTTATTGTTGGGGGAAAGACTAATCGAGCCAAGGCTGAATTTCCAGATGAGATGAATTGCTTGCTTGATAGGGTTCCCGAAATAGTTGAGTCTTCCATTTCCAAGCAACCTGGTAGCATTGGTGGCTAGTTTTTGAGGCACCAGATAGGCGAAAGCATGAGGATACAACTTTGAAGTTTCAGGTAAAATCAAGATATTGTCCCATTTCAACTTCATTCCAAATTAAAAAGTGAGAATACTTTCAAGTGAGACGTTTCACACCCTAGTCATGGACAACGCCAGATTCACACATTGGCAGCAAAGGAGCAAAATTTGAGTTTCTGAAATGTACAGTTTTTTATTGTACTTCACAGGGCAAAGAATCCAAGCCTAATTCCACATCCACTAATACTAACCACTTATGACTTTAAAGCTTCAAACTACCAAAAGTATATTTGTTAATAGAAATACCATTCTTTATTGTTCCTTCAACATTTTCTATCATATGATTCTGGGTTTGACATGTATCGGTCCGTATTTGTATGTGTCTAAGCAGAAAAAGAGGGAGACAAGCAGAAAAACAACAATAAAGTCTGAGAAGATGACACTAGATGAGGAAATAATATTTGTTTCTTTTTGTAGTCTGTTCAGTAAAACTCGAGTTCATGTTGGCGTCTGTGGAAGTCTTCAACATGGATGATTTGATCTGGTAAGACTTGTGAAAGAGCTGCAAAGTGGCAACTTCTGTTCATGTCACACAAATGACCGATGAATTGTCGAATTTTGGTCTCAAGATTTCCTCTTCATCGATGCTGGTTTTCGTTCATTTGTTATTTCTTCTGATAGAAGGAAGAACAGATTCCAGAATGAAAGCTAACATGAACAGTATGCTTCCATAGTTATTGCGAAAACAACGCTGACTCCATCATATTTCTATAGATGTCATTGTTGTTAAATATCCCAAAATAAAACGATTCTTTTCTTTAAATGCCAGTAGCAGTGCCAGTGGTATGGCTTTACAATGCCACGACAAAGGGATCAAGAAAACCAACAACTCTGATCCTGTACCCCTGGAAATTGACCACGAAAAGAAGAGTGATTACACTTTCTACAATTTCCAAAGCTCGGAATACCTCAAGGCCATAACCATTTGTAAAATCCAAGTATTTTATGTTAAAGAAATGCATATACGAGTGGTGACGCAACGAATCTGCTAGAGATTTTTAAAAATAAAATATAAAAATAATTTCACGTTGAAAAAAAAAGTGATAAAATAATCATTTCAATTAAGAGAAGTAAAAGTCTATTATAATTGGATTTGAGTCACTAATAGACTATGGACTTGATTTTTCAAGTTTGGTCTTGCATTAATTGAAAAATTAGTATATATTAATATTTAATTAATGACACTTGACATTGGGACATATGCAATATAGTAAATAAAATATTATTTTATTTAAAATTTATAAAATTTTATTTAATTTAAAATTTATAAGTATCTGATTGATTATAATATGTTCAAAACAGATAAAAAATAAAAACAAACAATTAATCGTGCACAAAATAGATAGATAAATTTGTTCAAAATAAAATAATTTTAATTATTAAAAACAGACAGTTTTTATGTAGTTAAAATAGACAATTATGTCTATGAGAATAAAAGATGTTTATCTGTTTATATAAAACTCTTCTAATTTTATAAAAAAAATACATAAACAATTTTTGAAACTCGTCCTCTTTATTCAAATTTTAAATTTTTTTTATAAAAATTTTGCTACAAAAAACTTTTATAAAAATTTAATAATCTTGTGATACACTGATGAATGTTCAGTAACTAATTTCATCAATGAAAAACGCAATCAATTATTAGATTTCATTATATCCTCAAAATTTATTTATATAATCTTTTTGTATACCTACTAAATAAATAATATGATAAAAGTAAATAAAACCTTAAAAAAAATAACACCGTTACACATCTTGAAATCTTTTCTCAAATTTTTAAATTTATCAAAAAATAATTTCAAATTTTTAGTGTTTGCACTATCTGAAATTTTGTTTAGTTAGTTTATGCATTTATGCTTAAGAGTTGACATTCTCGGTAACTGCAACTCATTTTTCTATTTTTCTTAAAATATGGCAACTTTTGAGCTCGTGCCTATGAAGTATGTTGAACCTTGACATTTTTCTGTTATGTTTAAATGTCTTTATTTTAGTATAATTTTATGTTTTAACTCTTACTGTTTCTCAACCTCAAACTCACGTTATAATTATCAAAGAAGTTAACTGCAACTTGTACGGATTTGTAATTAGCTGCACCCCTGCATTAATGCACTTTTACAGGTTTGCTTCAAAAGAACTAGCAAAATCAAATATCAAAATATAATGTCTCCAAATGAAGAAAATACTAAAGTGCAAATCGCTTTTTGGAAACCTAACTAAACCATTAAATAAAAAACCTCTCACATCATATCTGAAGCAACCATGATTTTCTTTTAACTTATTAGTTCTCACTTTTGGTTGGTGAGCAAAGATTACCGGCTTGGTTTCTGCATATATTAAAATTTCAACGTATTCGAGATAAGTTGATCTGAAAAAGGTAAAATGGCTTCATCAGAAGCAAAGAGAAAGCCAACCGAGGTAAAGCCATTTCAAGTGGAGAGACAGATAGGAAAGCAGGCAGTAAAGCAAAAGATTGCAAGAAAAAGCTGGAAGGAATCAAAGAAGATGTGGGCGATACCAGGCCCTGCCATTTTGATATCAGTCTCTCAGTTTTCGATTGGTTTTGTCACGGTTGCTTCCGTAGGTCACTTTGGACAACTATAACTTGCTGCCGTTACCATAACAACGAATGTGATTGAAGGCTTTGTATTTGGTATCATGGTGAGTATCTAACAGACAGAAACAAAAGTTGCTTGATGATCATCTTCTTGTTAATTTTAAACATAGCATTCTTGTTACCAAATACAAAATTGCTTTGTATTTGGTATCATAAATACGCTAGGCGGTCAAGCTGTTGGTGCTGGACAACATAATATGCTTGGAATCTATCTGCAAAGGTCATGGATCAGTACTGGAGCCACAGCTGTGTCTAACACCTTGTTATCTTCTTGCATCACCAATACTAAAGCTACTTCGTCAAGGCAAGGATATCTCAGAACTTGCGGGCAAGTACTGCAGAATGGTCATTCCTAAATTTTTGCCATATGCCATGAATTTCCCTATCCCACAGATTCTCTAATCTCAGAGCAAAGTGTGGGTTACGACCATAATTTCAGTTGTGGCTTTGGCATGTCATGTCTTGTTGAATTAGGCTCTCATGACCAAGCTTCACCATGGTCTCCTTAGTGCTGCCATGGCTGGGAATATCTCATGGTGGCTTCAAATAATTGCCATGGTAAGTTATATGGTTTTGGGGTTTTCTCCGGAATCATGGACCGGTCTTTCCTTGTCTTCTTCCAAGTCATTGTGGGGTTTGTCAAACTCTCGCTTGCATCTGCTGTAATGTAATGGTAAGTACTCAGATTTTCTAAATATCCAGATAAGCCGTCTCAAAATTTCGGCATATGCTAACAATATTTGACATTTGATGATTACTGCTTGGAGCTATGGTGGGATATCTAAAAGATCCTGCACTTGCAGTAGATGTCATTTCAATCTGGTTAGTTTCTTCCTCCCCCCCCCCCCCCCCCCCTTTGCTTTCATCCGTCATTCCTGAAGTTTTATCAGAATTCCCATTGGTGCCATTGGAGGTAATGAACCTACCTTTCATATCCTTTTCCCTATTCATTTGTGTTCTCAACTTTGGCAGTATGCACTTGCAACTTTGGACTTCAATGGTTACTCTGGGTTTCAATGCAGCAGTAAGGTCCGTTGGTTAAGCCATATATAAAATGGTGCAGGCTGTGCAAACTGAGGAGTGTCTAAGAACATTTGGTGGATCAACTGTGACTCGCAGAAACTTCATTAGAATCCAGTGCTGGTTGAGTCATTACCAAATACTAGCATATACCATTTGTATTCCAATTTCGTAGCAATCGAAATGAAATTGATACTCTAGTGCTTAATAAAAACCAATTTCAGGTTACCTCAGATATATTGGCTTTTACAGAAGTGTATTATACTAGCATATATCAAACATTTCTTGATACATAGTTACAAGCGCAATTACTGTTCAAGGCTACATTCGATTACATTTTCAGATCCTCAGATTCTGCCGTTTTAATCCACATTAACCAAATTGTACTGCAGAACGAGCATCAATGGCTGATGCACCTGTGCGAACCTATATTTTATGCCACTTGCAAGGCTTCTTCACGTTTTATGTCAAACACCTTGATGAGGGCCTCTTCGACCACCTGGTACATCCAATTAGACAAAAAGACAATATAAATAATATCAACCTAATAGTGTTACAAGAAAAATATAAGTTCATAAATATATATATATATATATATATGTTTTATGATCAAGCCTGTGTTAGCTACAATCCAATAAAGTTGCAAGCTGTGAAGATAATACTGCAAATGGTCCAGAGTCTTTGTAGAATTAAACATTTAGAATGGAGTACATGAAAAAAAAAATCAAAACCAACAAATAAGTAAACCAAACTGTAGGAATATGAAATTTCACATGAAAGAGAATTACCTTATCTGGTGTGGATGCACCAGATGTAACACCAATTGTTATAGAACCCTCTGGCAGCCAGTTTTCTGTCTCAACCAACTCCCCATGCTGGTAGAACACAGCATTTGCATAATTAGAATAAAAAATTGCAATGAGAATAGCTCTTTTCTAGGCTAACAAAACTAGAAGTGACCAAGAAGTGGATTACTTTTCATTCATACTTACATTCAACTTGTGAGCTATTCTGTTTCCTGGACCTATTCTCTTTTCACTGTCAATCCAATATGAGGGGATCCCACGGTCCTCTGAAATTTCTTGAAGGTGTGAGGTGTTGCTTGAGTTCCACCCACCTACTACTAGCATAAGATCCAGGTCTTCCTCCACCAATTTATACATTGCATCTTGTCGCTCCTGAAAAAGAATATAAATCAACTTAAATTAATTCAATCACTAAGATAAAAATTGGTAAGTGAACAGGCGACAGGAAGAAGACAAGAAGAAGAAGCAGTATATGCTGTAAAGTCTTCCATAATATATTAAAAAATTTATAATGAAAACCAAACTGTCACAAACATTCAACTTACTTGTGTTGCATCACAAATTGTGTTAAAGCTTATGAAGTGATTATTGACATTTTCCACTCCATATTTTTGCATCATTGTTCTCTCTACTAATTTTCCTGTTAAGCCAAAATGCAACATATGTCTCAAGTAGCAATTCCTTGCAAGCAAGAAGTGATATATCATAATTGCATAAGTGTCACTAACCAATTTCCTCTGTCTCCCCCTTCAGCATTGTAGTTTGATTTGCAATCCCAACTTTTACTAGGTCGTGATCTGGATTGAATCCCTTTGAAACGGCATTTTTAAATTTCTGCAAAAAGAGTCAATAATCATCTGAAGATGTGCACAATTTCCTTTACATTTGAAGAAAATATGAAACAAAAACTATACCTCCAGAAATTCCTCTTTGGTGGAGCTAGATCCATTAAGTTCACCTCCAAGAATGTAATCACAAACATACATTGCCTTTACAAATCAAACAATATGAAAACAAACAATTTTTATTGAACAAAATATAAAGGGCAAGCCAAAAAAAGTTGTAAGATAACACAAGAAAACAGAACACTAGACACTTTAGGACATACCTCAGTCATATTCTTCACAATAATATACG